GTGCCTGTTAGGTATGAGGAGCGGAGCCTTAATTGTTCACCAGGGCGGGGCCACCCAGGTCGCTGGTTTGCCACGCTGTATGTGGGGGAAGGGTCAGAGAGGGACAATGGTGGTTCTCTCTGCCGCTTTCTGCCCCTGGGGACTGCAAGGTCCGTCTCACCACCGCTAGCTCTTTCACTGGTTTATCTGCGGGCAAATGTGTGACTGTGGTCCGCCCTCAGTGGGTCTGCCTGCTTCTCCACACCTGGGATCCGCCCACGGCTGCTGGCGCACCTGGGTGGTGCGCCCAGGTCAGTTTGGTGGATCTTTCCTGCCTGACCCTGCTCTGCTGCTGGCTCTGCCCCTCTTACCGGTTTGGCTGAAGGGTTCATTGGTGTCAGACTTCCGTGTAGTTCAATTTTCTGTGGTCTGGCTGCGTTTTTGTTGCTAAAACTTTGTTGTTTTTAAACTTGGTTGTGTGAGAAGGTATAGTGCTTCCACCTACGCCTCCATCTTGGCGGAAGTCCTAAATTTCTCAGTTTTTTAATGAGAGTAATGAACTTATATAATCCATGATTGAATAATAACTCCCTCCCCCCAGATTTATTGAAATATAATTAACAAACAGTATTGTGTAAGTTGAAGGCATACAGCATAATGACAACATACATGTATTGTGAAATGATTATCACAGTTAGTTGGCATCCATCATCTCTTATAGATACAAAAAAGAAAAAAACTCTTTTGTGTGTGGGATGAGAATTCTTGGGACTTACTTTCTTCATAGGATTCAGATATATCACACAGCAGGGTTAACTATGGTCATCATGTTGTACATTATATCCCTAGGTCTTATTTAGCTTATAAGTGGAAGCTTGTACCTTTTGACCACCTTCATCCAGTTTCCTACTCCCCACCTCTGGTACCCACAGATCTGATCTTTTTCTCGCTCTTTTTTTTTTTTTTTTTAAATTCGGATTTCTTGCAGGGTGTGTTTTTGTTTTTAGATTCCATATATAAGTGAGATAACACAGTATTTGTCTTTCTCTATTAGAATTATTTTACTTAGCATAATGACCTCAAGGTCCATCCATGTAGTCGCACAGGATGGGATTTACTTCCTTTTTTATGGCTGAATAATATTTCATTGAATATTAACAACTGTTTATTGGAAACCTCCTTACTGTATATGAAGCCACTTCTCCCAGGTCATAGGGCTGAAGTTTTGATGCGGTCCTCCTACTAAGAGTTGTTACATTTGATCAGGGTAGGGAAGGGTATTCAGGATTACTGTCTCTAAGGAGTTTAGGTCTCAGAGGATCCTTGAATATCATAAAGTTGAATCTTTAAAGTTCAATTTAATTTTTTAAAAGATTTTATTTATTTATTTTCAGACAGAGGTGAAGGGAGATAGAAAGAGAGGAAGAGAAACATCAATCTGTAGTTGCCTATCATGCAACCCCCACTGGAGACCTGGCCTATAACCCAGGCATGTGCCCTGACTGGGAATCAAACCAGTGACCCTTTGGCATGCATGCTGGCACTTAGTCCACTGAACCACACCAGCCAGGCTGAGTCTTTTAAGTTTTAAAAGGCTGTTAAGGAAAGCAGACATGCTCTTCAGGGTCACTGGCAAAGAATACTGAGCCAGATGGGTTAATCATGTATAGGAATTGTTTCTTTCCCAGTATACACACAGACATGGCTTAAACTGTGGTAAGTCATGGGAAAAATGGAAAAATTTTTTTGAAGGTTTGATTCTGAATTTTCTTAGTGTATATTTGTTGGTTCTTAATTCCTAAAAATTGTTTAAACCCTTAAAAAACAATTATTTAAAAAAAATTTACTTATTTTTAGAGAGAGGGGAAGAGAAGGAGGAAGAGAGGGAGAGGAAAATCAATGTGTGGGTTGCCTCTTGTGCGCCCCATACTGGTGACTTGGCCCACAACCCAGGCATGTGCCCTGACTGGGAATCAAACCACAATCCTTTGCTTCGAAGGCCCGTGCTCAATCCACTGAGCTATACCAGTCGGGGAGTATCAGACTTTTAATCTTAGGCACTCTGTGTACATAGTTAATTTAAAAATGATGCTACCTTACTTTACAAAAAGTTGTTAAGAATAATAGTAGCTTGCTAGTAATATAATTTAAAATATTAGTATTCAGGCCTTGGCTGGTGTAGCTCAGTGGATTGAGCTCGGGCCTGTGAAGCAGAGGATCTCGGTTCAATTCCCAGTCAGGGCACGTGCCTGGGTTGCAGGCCAGTTCCCAGCGGGGGACGCATGAGAGGCAACCATACATTGATATTTCTCTCCCTCTCTCCTTTCCCTCTAAAGATAAATAAATAAAAATACTAAAAAAAAAAACATTACTATTCATTCTATACTCAGTGGGATAGTTTCTTCACAGTGACATCTAAATTTTTTGTTTCTCCTTTCATTTCCAGGTTGCCATCACGAAAGCCAAAGTGGATTTCTCCAGTGTAGTGTGCCTGCCCCCTTCCGTCATTGCTGTGAATGGGCTGGACGGAGGAGGGGCTGGCGAAAATGATGATGAACCAGTGCTCGTGTCCCTGTCTGCTGCTCCCAGTCCCCAGAGTGAAGCTGTTGCCAACGAACTGCAGGAACTCTCCTTGCAGCCCGAGCTGACCCTGAGCCTCCACCCTGGCAGGAATCCCAATTTGCCTCCACTCAGTGAGCGGAAGAATGGTGAGTATACATGGAGTTTTTGTAGCCTGATTTTGAACCAGGGTCTTCATATAGAGCCTTACTTTATTTCTTGTCTCTTAGAAGTTTCTTATAGTCTTATTATTTCTTGTAAAACAGAGAAATAGTAAGTTTTGGTGATCATTATAAACCCAACATCATCTTCCTGGGTTATTATAATTGCTTTCTAATTTGTCTTCCTACTTTTTTACTTCTCCCTCCCCACTCCTTCCATAAATTCATTAATTCAGCAGATATTTATTGAACATCAGTGTATTAAAAATTGTGCTAAAATTAGGAAGTAATTTGTGTTGAATTGTGTGTGATTGTAGTTTTTTATTACTATATATATAATTCATTTTATGAATATACTGAAATTTGTCCATTTTACTTTTTTTTTAAAACCTCACCTGAGTATATATTTATTGATTTTAGAGAGAAAGGAGGGAAGGGAGGAAGGGAGAAAGAGAGAGAATAGGTGTGAGGGAGAAACATTGATCAATGGCTTGTACACGCTCCAACAGGGAATAGAGCCTGCAGCCTTTTTAGTGTGTGGGACGAGGCTCCAGCCAAATGAGCCACCCCGCCAGGGCATCCATTTTACTTTTAATGGATATTTGGGACTATGATGAATCATGGTGCTGTGAAATTCTTGTACATAGCTTTTTGTATACTTGTTGGGATTTTGATTTGAAATCTATCCTTTATAGGGTAATGAGAAGAATATACATTTTAAATATTGGGTATTCTCAATTAGTTATCTCTCCAATTAAATAGGTCTCCTTTAATATCTTTCCATAGAGTTTTATAATTTCTCCATTAAGGTCATACAAATATTTTACTAGGTTTATTCCTGGATATCTTTTTTTTTTTGGTGGACATTATAAAAGGTATATTTTTAGAAAATATTTTTTGGACTGTTTGATGCTTGGGAATCGGAATACCCAAATTTTCAAAACCTCGTGTGGCTTTTCTACGTCTGTGCCAGATGTTTGACATAGACTCCCCCTTTCTTGCCAGTAACACATGTTCAGGCTTCACTCCCTTTGAAAAGCATGTCCTAACTCATATTCGTTGTTAGATATTTCTCTTTTGATTTGCCCAGTGGCCCTTTATCATCATACTTTATCACCTTAAATTACAATTGGAATCTTCCAGTCAGCAATATGAGTGAGCCTTTGAAAATTGAAATTAGACATTGTTACACTCCTCTCAAACACCCTGCAGTGCCTTCCGATCAGGCTTATGATGAAGTTATAGTTCTTGTGCTGGTATCCTTTGGGACCTGATTTCTTATCCCTGTCCTTAGCTCTCTGTACTCTGTTCCAGCCACACTGACTTTCTTGCTGTGTTTTGAACACATCAACTATGGTCCCTGTCCCAGGGCCTTGGTGCTTGCTGTGTCTTTACTGAAGTGCCTGCACAAATGTCATTTCCTTAGGGAGGCATTTCCTATCTGTTTTATAAAGTAGTACCTCCCATTATTCTCTGTCTTGCCTTGTCTTGCAACCACTTATTTTGATGGGTGTATGTGTGTTTATTTTCTCTATCTCCCTTTCCCCCTGCTGATAGTACATTTCATAAGACCAGAAACTTTATTTTGCTCACAGGTTATCTAACATCTGGCTCATAATGGGCATCAAATAAATATTTGCTGAATGAATAAATTACTGATTTACTTACGTGTCTCACTACAGGCAAGAACTCCTAATTTTTATATCCACAGTGGGAAAAGTAATGGAAACTCAAGCAGTTTTTGTTGTTGTTGTTTTTGCCATTTCCAATGAGCTGGTTTAATTCCAGGTGATACAGAATTCTGGATGTAACAGAGACTGAAGGACACACTTTGACAGGACTCTGGGCTGGGTCCACTCTGACCTCACAGCCAAGGTTGAAATGGCAGAGTGAGAAGAGCTAAGATGAGCCACTGCATGACTACCTTTATGGTTTTTTTTTTTTTTTTTAAGATTTTATTTATTTATCTTTAGAGGGGAAAGGAAGGAGAGAGGGAGAGAAATATCAATGTATGGTTGGTGTGTCCCCTGCTGGGACCTAGCCTGCAACCCAGGCATGTGCCCTGACTGGGAATCGAACCATGGTTGCTTGGTTCCCAGGCCCGCCGCTCAATCCACTGAGCTACACCAGCCAGGGCTGGTTATTATTTTTTTTTACAAATCTTTATTCTTAAATGTACAGCAGGCTCCCGGACAACACTTCATTCCAGCTATAGGTGGCAAGAGATCTTATGACAGGGAATCCAGATGTTAATACAGGAATGGAATGAAGGATCACCAGTGCCCCAGTCATGAGAACAGCTCACTTTTTGCCAGATTTCTTAATTCCACCTGTGGCCAGGCGGCCCTTCCCTGCAGCCTTCACTTCTAGCTCCTCAAGTTTCTTCTGCTTCTCTTTTTGCTTCTGCTTGAATGCCTTATCTTCCTCGTCCATCTCCTTGGCCTATTTCTTGGGCTGTTTTAGGGGCTTCTTCTTGCCACCTTTAAGGCTGGACATGGCGCCTGCCGCCCCTCTCAAGCAGTTTTTATTTTGGGAATCAGTGAACACTCAATCAATTTTTTTTATGTGTGTGTGTTCTTTTCCCATTCCTAATTTCTACTCTCCCCCACAACAAATGGCAGAGAGTTCAGCTGATTTATATATGTTAGGGGGAAAGATTTAATCCAGAGGGAAAAGCTGAAGACAGAAAAAGAGAAAGGATAACTGATATAGCAAGGTACTCGTGGAGATGGGAGAGGATGGGATCCAAAGGCATTGGCTTTGCCTCGAGCAGGAGTAAAGACTAGCATTCCTCAGGGATGGGAGAAATGGCAGTGAATGTGATGACAGATAGCAAATGACAGACCTCCTGTATCTTGGGCAGGAAGTGGAGAAACTTTGTGCGGACAGCTGTGATGGTCTCAGTGGAGAAGAAGGCAGCTGTTGCTATTGGGACAGAGGTGTTGGTCTATCTTTAGCCATTCTCTTTTGACTCTTTGTCATATATCAACTGGATTTTTCCCATTTTGAAAAACAACTCTAACCTTCCCTTTGGAGTCAAGCTCCTGAAAAACTACCGGCATTGTCTTTTTACTTTCCCACATTGTGGAGACTTCACTGCATTCTGGCTTCTGTCCCTACCTACTTCAGAAACTGACGTTGCCAAAGCCATTAGTGTTCTTTTCATTGTAGATCAGATAGGCACTCTTTATTCTGTTGGCCTCTCTGCAGCATTTGGTATGGTTGACTACTCTGTCAGACCTGAAACTTTTCCTCCACTGACTTCTGTGACATTCCTCTTTACTGGCTTCTTAAGCTCTGCCTTTCAAGTCACTTTTTCCCTGGCTCAGACCTTTTGCTCTTTCTCTACCCACCTTTTAAATCTTGTTGCTTCCTAGTGTTCAACCCTAGGGCTTCTTTACTTCTTACTCCATATCTTTACCCTGAATGATTTCCCCTACAACTTTGGCTTTACTGTTATGTGCTGTTGATTCCCATCTTACCCAGGAGTGGGCAAAAGTAGGTTTGTAATACATGCATACATACTTATGTATATGCATACAATAATTAATAAATAATACAAGAATAAACTCTTTCATGTACTCAAAACCGTAAATCTACTTCTGCCTACCCTGTATGTCTAGGCCAGGCCTCCTCCCGAGTTTCAGTTTCATATGTTTGGCTGTCAGTTGAGCACTTCCCCTGGACATGCCACAGACTCAGCATGCTCAGAGTTAAACTCATGATCCTGCCCGCAGTTCCTGCCGAATTCTCCATTGTAGGAGCTGGTACCACCTTCCATCTGGATGTTCAAACCAGCGGATTATTTGTTTTGTTTTCTTTGTAAATGAAAACTTGTAAAGTTTTGTTTTATAATAAAATAAAATGTGGGGAAAAAAAGAAAATAAAAATTTCCTCATAATTACACAGTTCATTGAAGGCCAGTGGTAGCAGTTCATATATAGTCTGTCAGTTTTTGTTTATTCATTTGTTTATTTACTTTATACAAATATAGTTTGTGTAAATTATTTTCATAAAATATGAGATGTTTCTATATCATTTAACAGTCTTAGAAAACCTTTTTTCTCTGCTTGATACTTGAATTGGGTGTGTACAGCATTTAGCTAATCTCCTATCTTAAGACCCTTGCATTGTTTGTATTTATTTATTTAATCCTCATCAGAGGATATGATTATTGATTTTAGAGAAAGAGGAAAGGAGAGAGAAATATCAATCAGTTGCCTCCTGTGTGCACCCCAACTGGGGATCAAACCCGCAGCCTGGGTGCCCTGACTGGGCATTAAACTCGCAACTTTTTGGTATATGGGACACTGCTCCAACAGCTGAGTTGCTGGCCAGGGTTGTTTTGATTTTCTTAATAAGAGAAAATAAATACTATTGTAGTAAACATCTTGGCATATAAGTCTATCTTGCAGGTAAGTATAGGATTCCCAGAAGTAGGTAAAAAGATCTGGACATAAAGAACATTTCCCCCTTCTGATTGTATAAGTAACATGTTTGGTATGAAGTTTTTTAATTTTTTAAAATCAACATTTCCAAATTGTCCTCCAGAAAATTAAAATGAAATAATTTTTTAAAAAGATTTTATTTATTTATCTTTAGAGGGGAAGGGAAGGAGAGAGGGAGAGAAATATCAATATGTGGTTGCCTCTCGTGCATCCCCCACTGGGAACTGGCCTGCAGCCCAGGCATGTGCCCTGACTGGGAATCGAACCGTGATCCTTTGGTTCCCGGGTCCATGCTCAATCCACTGAGCTACACCAGCCAGTGCTGGAAATAATTTTTTTTATCCTATCTTTCTTCTACCCCCTTGTTTTCACATTCATCAGTTAACCAATTTTTGTAGATCATGCAATGTTCATAGCTACTGAATGTATCCTTTTGTTGCCACCTTTACAGCTACCACTTAGTTCAGATGCTTAATAATGCTTTATGTCAATGTCCCTCTGACTGATCTCCTGTCTTTATTTTTTAGAGAGAAGGGAAGAGAGAGAGAAAGCAAGGGAGAGAAACAGTGATGTGAGAGAGAAACATCCACTGGTTGCCTCTTGAATACACCCTAACCAGGGGACCAGGTAGCAACCCAGGCATGTGCCCCGACCAGTAATTGGAAGGGCGACTTTTCACTTTGCTAGACAGCATTTGGCCAACTCAGCCACACTCATCAAGGCTCCTCTTTTCTAATCATGTCCCTATGGCCACTGGAATGATGTTTCTAAATCATAAATGTGGCTACTGCTTTCCTGCTTGAAGTCAGTTTGGTTCTCTATTTCCTCCAGGATAAAGCTTATGCTCCACGGCATGGCAATCCAGGTGCTTCATACCCAGCTTCTGTCCATCCCTCATCTGTTCCCACTCACAGTAACTGATTTGGGACTTCCCATAAGAGACACACGTTCACATCTCAGTTCCTCTTCCTGACCTTTATTTTCCTTACTGGAATGACCGTCCTTCTCTTCTGTCCAACATTTCTTTTTAGTCAAGAATCTGGGGGTGCTTTAGTGTCTGAGTCAACCTCTTCAGTTGCTAGAATGGTTTCCTAAGTGCCAGGAACCCCACATTGATTAATTGTGATCATGCTTAAAGGGAATGTGGATACTAGAAACTGTCAGACAAACATAATGGTGTACACAACATAATCATCATTTTGGCAGGAGAAAAGAAACCCAAGAAAATGAAATTGGGTTCAATATTAGAAAGGAAACAATGGTGAGATATTGTTAGGTTGGCCAAAAAGTCTATTTAGTTTTCTCTGTAAAATAAAAGACACATTTTTTATTTTTACCAATAACTGTATTGATTTAGATATTTTGAGTATGTTGGCTTTCTCCTGCCCTTGGCTTGTAGTGGGTAGAGGCCAGGGTGCTTCTAAACATCTTCCACTGTGTAAGACAGCCCCACAGCAAAGAATTACTTGTCTAAAATGTCGGTAGTACCAGGAACCTTTACAAACCACATTGGACACATTTGATCAGTTACAACATCTTCATGTACTGCACAAATCCGTTTTATGCTTTTCAGTTGTGTTTTTTTATATTTCTTGAAGTAATAAACTACAGTATGCCAAAAATGTTGTTTATTTTCTTCCATTTTCAATGTTAAAATGGCTACACAAAAATTCACCAGTTTTGATACTTAAAAAAAATGCGTGTGGACATGACAGCTGTCACAATACAATCTAACAAAATTGTTTCAAATGGAGTTAAAGACAACTAAGCAATACTAGAGCCATTCTGTGGGAAAAAATGTAACAGACTTTTTGGCCATCTCAGTGGTATTAGAACAATACTGTAGAGAAGAAGAGGGGTTTAATAAAGCAATAATCTGTAAGAAGTTTCATGACTACTGAAAATACTTGATATAGTAGATTGCATATCAGTGACCAGAAATACCAGTATTCTTCTTTTGTTCGACATATGTGGTATTTGTTTATGTATATAGCTTTAATTCATCCGTTTTCATTACTGTATAGTGGATGCTCCCATGGAAAATTATTCCATAATTTTGTAAAACCTCCATTTTGTTTGTGAATTTTCGGGTTGTTGCCAGGTTTAGGTTATTACACGTTGCTGTGACTGTTCTTCATGTGTCCTGGTACACTCTGCTAATTATATAACGATGCCTTAGGACATTCTTGATTTTCATGTTACTGCTTTCTAATAAGGTTAAAGATCTCTTATATTGGCCATTTGGATTTCTTCTTTTGTGAAGTGCCTGTTGAAATCTTTTGTCTGTTTTTCCTACTGTTGTCAGTTATTTTTCTTGTGAAGTAATAGGAGTTCTTTACATGTTCGTAATACTAATTTGTTGTTCTTAAATGTGTTATAGATAGCTTCTCCCACTCTGTGACTTATCTTTATCATTCGCTTTATCTTTTAAGAATTTCTAAATTAATGTAATTAATTTATGAATCTTTTATATTTAATGAGTTTTATGTCTTAATTTTTTGTGTGGGATAAAGTAAACCTGAATTTAATTTTTTTCAAGTGGACTCTCATTTATTGAAAATACTTTTCCCACTGATCAGCAGAGCTACCTCTTTCATATATCAAGGACCTGCCTAAGTGTGGTGTGATTCTGAGCTCACTCTTTGTTTGCGTGGGTCTTGTTTGTCTGTGCCTGCCCCAGCACCTCACGGCCCTAATGATGGTAATTGTAGTAAGCCCTGTTATCTGGGAGAAAGAAGGAGGTCCTCCCACCTTTTCTTTTTCAAGAGTGTCTTTCCATATGGATTTAAAAATCATGGAGATTTTGATTGGGATTACATTAAATCTGTAAACCAGTTTGTGGAGAATTAACATTTTTAGAATGTTATGCTGTGAGCGTATATATTTCCTCATTTAGATTTTCTGTAAGGTTCCCAGTGAAGTTTTATAATTTTTTCTGTGGCGGTCTTATACATCTTTTACTAGATTTACTTTTAGAGGTTTCATATATTTTAATGCTATTGTTAGTGTTATCTTTTTAAAAAATTATTTTCTAACTGTTCTTGCTGA